GCAGCAGATCTGAATTTCCAGCTTTTATGGGGACTTCTCACACAAAAACCTGTATACAAATATTCTTATTGGATTGGATAAAAGACCTAAAGAGTCATTTCACCAGACGAGATATACAGATGGCATGTAAGCGCATGAAGATGTTTACAGTATCCTCAGCACTAGAATAATGCAAATTACAACCACAGTGAGATATCACCATACACTTATCAGAATGGTTAAAATAAAAATAGTCGCAAAACCAAATGCTGATAAGGCTGTATACACTGTTGGTGGGAACGTGAAGTGATTTAGCTACTTTGGAAAACAGTTAGCAATTTCTTAAAATTAAATGTGCGAGTACCATACCACCTAGTGGTTGTATTCCTGGGTATTTATCTTGGAGAAAAGAAGATTTATGTTCACACAAAAACCTCTACACAGTGGAAACAACCCAAGTGCCCATCAATACATGAGTGGCTTAAGAAAATGTGGTATACATATACCATGGAGTTCTACTCAGTCACAAAAAACAATGGTGATACAGCACCTCTTGTATTATCCTGGTTAGAGGTGGAGCCCATTCTACTAAGTGAAGTATCACAAGAATGGAAAAACAAGCACCACATGTACTCACCATCAAATTGGTATTAACTGCTCAACACTTAAGTGCCTATATAGTAATATCATTCGTCAGGTGTTGGGCAGATGGAAGGGGGGTGGAGGGTATGGGTATATACACACTTAATGGATACCGTTTGCACCTTTTGGGGAATGGACACGCTTGAAGCTCTGACTCAGGTGGGGCAAGGCCCGTATACGTAACCTAAACGTTTGTACCCCTGTAATATGCTGAAATTTTTAAAAAATTGAAATCCAGTCATGATCAAAGATAAGTTTTAAGTCAGATAAGAGCAAACAATTATTTACTTAGCTTTTGTTCAAATTATCTCTTAGGCTTAATTACAATAATTTTTATATAGAACATTTATAGATTTGACTTAGTGTAACTTAGAACAGACTTCCACATATATTCAAAAACATACAATTCCCCTAAAGCTTGTATTCATCTCTTTTATCCCAATTAAAAGTAGTGAAATATATAATGTTTCCAATATTAACTGTGCCATCTATAATGTGTAATCACTAAGATTAAATGAGGTCATCAGTGTTAGAAAGTGGAACAGATGACATAATGCATGAATAGGCATTAATTTCTTTAGAGTAAATGTAGGGCTTATTTCTCTATGTGTCAATATGAGACGTGAATTAAAATTCAAGGGGGCAGAATGAAAAAACATATTAGTGTTTGAGTATATATTTTCAAGAAAATGTGTTTTTAGGATGGAAAATCCCTCAATTTGTCACTCTATGTTGAGAAAAATCTTCGCCAATGTTTTTGTCACTAATGCTTTGATTCAAACTGAGCCGAAACCTATTTTTTTTTCATTTTTAGGGAACATGAAGAACAAAATAAATATAGCAATCACATAAAGCAGGACATCCCTAGTTCAGAAAGTTTTAGGGAATACAGAGAAACTGAGAGTTGTCTAAACTGTGACTCTCAACTGGGCAGTTAGATCTCATGGTTGTATATACCTGAGCTGAGGAGAGAAAACAAGCGCCTGGGAATGACACAATAACTGAAAGCCCACATCCAAGTAAAGAGAAATACAAATAAAAATCCAGACCAGTTTACATGAGGACACGCTGCTAATGTAAATGAGTTCCTATTGTTTATAAACTAGGAGTTAAAAATACCTGTTAGCAGTAGGGTAAGGTTGTAGAGATTAGGTCTTGTTATCCCATGAATTTGTGATATAGGTAAAGTGAAAGCATGAAAATATTATGGCTTCCTCCTATATCTTTGATTGAATGAGAGAGAAAATAAATATTACAATAATCATAGAGTCAGTCAATGAGAA